GTTGGGACATACACAGAGAGGGACATTGGAAAGGGAACACAGGTGCGGAGTGCAAGCCCCCACCCGCCCCACACCCCTCCCCACGCGCCCTCCTCTGGCTGGCACCCTTCCCGGGCCCCTGTGCGGCCCCCAGACAGGGCAGCCGAAGGAGGGGCATGTGGAACAGAACAGGTTTCTCGAGGTGGAAGAGGGTCAGTTGTAGCCAGGATGCAGTGTGCGGCCTGGGGGGTGTGGGGGGGGAGGAGGAGGGGAGACCGTCTGGGAGGGGACAGGTCAGGGGGAGACCCCTGGGGAGGGGGGAGGAAGGGGAGGGTCTTGCGAGGAGCCACGGAGAGCCCTCGGGAAGATGATTTCAGGCCCTTCTGAGCGAGTGGACCCCTGGCACACATTCGGGAAGGGCCGCGCCCCCCGGGCTCCCCCGTCCCGGCCGTGCGCCGCTCCGTGCTGCCGGCCACGGCCGAGGCCGTCCAGGAAGGGGCTCCGAGCCCACACCCAGGCACGCGTCCCCTTCACACCTTCCCAGAGGACAGTTTGGAGTCAGGCCCCGGCAGCGGAGGAATCAAACACCTGATGGCATTGGGCAAACCTTGCGTGACGAGTCCACTTTCAAGGACAAGAAGGTTTGGTCTGCTGATGAAGGCGCCCGGCTCGGCCGCTGCCGCACTGCCCCTGTGCGCCCGCCCGCCCGCCCCGGCCTCCGTCCTGCTGCCTCGGGGGCCTGCTCACTCTCCGACCCGTCCTCTGTACCTCTTGTCGCTTTCTGCCTAGAGCCCTTCTTTCTCTCCATCCTTAGGGCTCAATGGAAGCCCCACGTCCTCAGGGAGGCCCGCTGCGGTGCTCGGGGTAGGGCCCCCAGAGCGCCCCGACCACGCACCCACTGCGCACTTTCTGACTGCTTGTCCCTGCTGAGTCCGGGCTCCAAGAGGCAGAACTCCTCCCTCTCCATCCCCAGTGCTTGGTGGAGGCTGTGGTGCGGCCGAGGAGCAAGGACTTCTCCTCTCTTATGCTTCCGGGGCTGGCCCAGCCCCTTCTAACGGACACTTTCTTAAGGCGCGTTTGCCCTTCAGTGTCTATGCGTGCAGGTGCTACCTCGGAAGTAACAGTGGCGGCTTCAGGTCTCTGCATAGCTCTGCTTTAATGACGATGATGATGGTAATAATTTTAGTAATAACAACAGAAAGTGCACCCACTAGCGGAGCCCTGATGGGTTCCAGGGGCCGTGTCCGGAGTGTTCTGTCAGCGTTGCAGTGTTGGATGCTCACCGGATTCTGACAAAGTAGGTGTCCTTGTCTTGAGATGCAGAGAGAGAGAAGAGCCCATGCAAAGTGCATGAAGGCACTTCAAGTCCAAGTCCGCCTGGCTTTAAAACTAGAGCCAAGTGGGGCCTGGGGGGCTCAGTCGGTTAAGCATCCAGCTTCGGCTCAGGTCATGATCTCACATTTTGTGAGTTCAAGCCCCGCGTCGGGCTCTGTGCTGACAGCTCAGAGCCTGGAGCTGCTTCGGACTCTGTGTCTCCCTCTCTCTCTGCCCCTCCCCTGCTCACGCTGTCTTTGAAAAATGAATAAACCTTAAAAAATTAAAAAAATAAAACTGGAGCCAATATGTGATGATCTTAGAGCATAACTACCAGCGAGGAATCTGGGTCCCCTTTTTGCGGGATCCTAGGAGGTGGGCTGTGCTGTGGTAGCGGTGCTGGTGCGGCCGCACTCGCTGAGAGGGTGACAGGCCTTCCTGGTCTGGGCAACACACACAAGTGCTCGGTTCCTGGGTGTCACAGCTTCGGAATGTTAGTTAGATCCCAGGGTGGCAGCAAGAACGGGCTGATGCTTGGCGATGTTGTGTTATTTTCAGTTTTAACTAATTAGAGCATCTCAAACTTCTCTCGTACTTATTTTAAGCCTTAAAACAACCGCGCCTGCCAAAAGCCTGCTTATCTTGGTAAAAGCACCAAACTACAAATAGATGGCTTTTAACAGTGGCTGCTGTAAGCACAGAGACCACAGCATCTGCGGACAGCAAATTTCAGCCTGGGGTCGGCTTCCTCGAGGTGGGGGAAGGGGGTCTGGCAGCTGCCGGTGCAATTCCCCGATTATGTCTCAGTGCACCTGCCCATGGAGACAGCTGGGTGGAGAACAGCCCACTGACGCCCGAGTCTGGGGCGTGCGGGCTGGGCAAGCTCAAGGCCCCCAGCTCACGAATTAGCCTTGCTTTCTGAAACTGTTTTCTTTTTTTTTTTTAATTTTTTTTAATGTTTTATTTATTTCTAGGAGAGAGAGAGAGACAGCGTGAGCAGGGGAGGGGCAGAGAGAGAGGGAGTCACAGACTCTGAAACAGGCTCCAGGCTCTGAGCTGTCAGCACAGAGCCCGACGCGGGGCTCGAACCCACGAACCGCGAGATCATGACCTAAGCGGAAGTCGGACGCTTAACCGACTAAGCCACCCAGGTGCCCCTCTGAAACTGTTTTCTTAAACAGAGGTACCCTGACAGTGCATTGTGCATTGTCATTACGAAAAGCCGTTTTGAAGTTATTTTATCCAGAGCCGCGGCCTTAAATTGAGTTCCCGACCTTCCTGGCAGGGAAGGGTGCGGAGTTTGGCAACACAGCCAAGGGGCTGCACCTTCAGGCAGGCCTGGGCTGGGGTCGCCGGGTGACCTAGGGCCTTCTTGAATATAGAAGTTGTGCTTCCTGGCCTATTGCTTTGCTCTCCTGAGGTGCACTGAAAGGCCGAAAGGGAGACCAGGTCTTGCGTTGGCCAAAAGGACCAGATTCCACTACCGTCCACCAGCCGGCCTCAGGGTGCCCCGCCCCTCAGGCCCCGCCCCCAGGCCCAGCCCGGCTGTAACGTGTCCTGTGTCTGCGCGCACCTCCTTCCCCTCGCTTATCCTTAGACCAGCTCACGTTTTGCTCATCTCCTGGTCTGTGTTTGCACGTGACAAGGCTAGGGAGGCGCCGCAGGCTGCTGGGGGCTGTTAGGAGCCCGCCTGTTCCCCGGGCCAGGACAGTGTCGTTCACCTACAAAGCGTCAGGTGTCAGCGTGAAGGAGATACCTGTCCTCGAGGCCCCGCTGAAAAGGACCTTTCTTTTCTGACGTGGCCCGAGCGCCAGGATCCCAAAGGATGGGCTTCCCTTGTCATCCCCGGTGGAAGCAGATACGCAGGAGCCGGCTGGCGGGAGGCTGCTGCGGTACAGAATTCTGGGGGAGCGTGGGGGGGTCACGTCCATGGGCGGAGAGTGAGAAAGTCTGTCTGCAGCTCTTCACCCGCGAGGGAGTAGCGGTGGTGCGCACGGGCCCTCCCACCCAGCGGCTTCGCAGCCCTGGTCCCCCCGTGGTTCCCAACGCGGGAGATTCTTCCACGCAGAGACTTTTGGCGGGGTGCACCCTCTCCCTCAGGCTCGCCTCCTGGTCACTAATGGCTGCGCTTTGGTGGTGCGAGGTCTCTGGCTGGCCGGTGCTCCGACGCCCTTGGCGCCACGGGCAGAGGCGGGAACAAGCACGCCCGAGTTTGTGGCCTGCGGTTTCCTCAGATCGTGTTTTCGGCTTTGAAGGACAGAGTGGGAAAGGCTGGGACCTGGCGTGAGATCTAGGCTCGAGTCTAGCTCCTCCTGCTGCGCTTTCCAGCAACCTGCCCCACGTCCCCAGGACACAAAACCGTGTCCCCTCCAGGGAAGAAGTCGTCCCCCTTTGTACTTATAGCTGCAGAAAATCTCCATTAAAGCCGTGGGGGGTCCTCGCGTCGTCCCGCTTTCCCGCCTGCAGAGAGGCTCCTGACGCCACGAGTGCCGTGGGCACCTGTATATTCAGACATGGTGACTTACGGTGTTTTTATGTGCTTATTTCTGTGTGTTATTAAAAATTGCAATCTCGCTCACATGTGTGCTCGGGAGAGCAGATCGCCTCATGAACCATACGACTTCTCAGCAAGGTGAGGCCCTCGTGATGTCATCTCCAAGTGAAGAAACACGGCAAGAAGCTCTATCATCTGGTTGAGGGCAGAATCGTGAACTGAATCTGGTTAGCACTTTCTGCTCCGTATACTTTTTATGGCAAAAACAGGAGAGAAAGCACCTCTAGCCAGTAGCCTCTGACGCCGTCATGGCCTCTGTCACGCCACTAAATGTTTCCCTGCTTTTGCCCCGCAGAGGTGATGCAGGCAGGGCCACCCCTGGGGTCCGCCGGGGTCTCCAGGCCAGCAGTGTGCGCTCACTTCGGTTAAAAGCAAGCCGTGCAGCCACTGTTGGTGGGAATCTGTTAGCAAAGTGGAGCTAGAGACCGGCCAGCCCGGGGGCATTGGGTTCTCAGCCCCCTCCCTGGACTCGGGGTGGTGCCACAATTCCTCAGCTTAGAGCCAGATCCCCCCCATGAGGGGCCCTCCCGTCTGTGCCCATGAGCCTCATGCTAACAGCTCTTGGAGATGCCATGCGGGTCTCAGGGTGACTTAGAAAGCAGTGTGCCCATGAAGCCTGGTCATACGGTGAGGCTGGACTGAGCAGGGGCTGCATACAGGTCAGCCTGACGGGGTCGGTAGTGTGTTGTGTCTCAGGATTTGCTTACGTGAGCATCCCGCTCGTTATGCATTAGCTTTGGTGATGGGATTTAAGCTGCCGCTTTTTCATTCAAAAGATATCATTTTTTTAATTAAAGAAAAGTCTGGAAGTCTTCTAGGACTGGCGTACGACTCAGAAACGGTTTTGTTCACCTTAAGGCTGCACCGAAGGGGTTGAGCTCTCTGCTGCCACCTGGTGGCAGTGTTGGCTTCTGCATTCACTCTGGCGTTTACGGTGAGCCCGTGGTGGGCCAGCTGCGGGCTCAGTGACCGGGGCAGGGGTGAACAGACAAGGCGCCACCCCCGCGGGGCCTGCCTTCCAGTTTGTCATTTCATTAGGACATCAGGCTTTCCAGAGCGAAATTGTGTGGCCTCAGCGTGGACAGTGTCACAGCAAGCCCCGGTCCAACAAGCGGACAAGCTAACGCACGAGTCTGCGGCTTTCTCTTTCCAGGAGTCAGCGGTGGCCCCTTGGAAAACCACTACAGACTGAAGCAGTTCCACTTCCACTGGGGAGCAGCGGACACGTGCGGCTCGGAGCACACGGTGGACGGCCACGTGTACCCAGCAGAGGTTCGTAGATGCCATCCTACATCACATACGTGGGTGCTTTCCATGTGCCAGGCTTGCTCGCAGGGCAGCCGACAAGCCCGGCTGCCCAGAAAGAGGGTTCCTGGGACACGGGGTTCCCCGAGCTCGAACTGGAGCAGTTGGGCGCCCTGCCTGTCCCACCGCATGGCTGTCCTGGGCGAGGGTACTATTCACACTGTCTTCTAACAGAAGAAGAGACTGAGGTTCTGAGTAGCTGTAACTTGCCAAATCAGCCAGCTGGGAGTCAAGAACAGAGTTTGCGCTCTTAGCCCCGCACTCGGCCACATGCTCGCTGCCGGTGGATCATGGACTAGAAGCTTCCTGTCTTTCAAGGCATTCAGGGCCTCTACTGAGATCTGAAAATCTTCACAACAGAGATCATCTTCTTGAAACAGTGAGACATTTGCAACATCCTCGAATGGCAATCTGTAAAGAAAACGAGTAGAGATAAATGTCAGGAGTTGGATTTTGTAGGTGTGGTGGGGCAGTAAGTGGTGCCTTATAGACTTTCCCCAATATTTTATTATGAAATTTTCCCAACATACGGAGTCATCGGCACGTCTGTACGGTGAGAGCCCATGAGGTTGCAGCTCTGATCCTACGACGGGCGTTTTGCCCGAATTCACTTCATCACACCTCGGTCCACCCGCCGACCCCCTGACTTCCTGATGCAGTTCAAGTTAGCGGCTGTTTTCGTTTGAACTTTTTGCTGCCGTCATGATGGAAGTAATGCTCTAGTTAAAACAGCATCCAGTCAGACCAGAACATGAAAACACCTGTAATCCCACACCCAGTCCTCCAGGGACAGATTAGGAACAGGAAGTTACATCTCTGGTTGTAATAACACGGACACAACGTGCTCATTTTACTCAGCACGTCTTCTGTCTTGGGAACTATGTGTCTGCACGTGGTTTTTAATGAGCAGATGATTTAGCAGAAGAGGTTGTTGTCTAGAAGCCAGAGCAGAGTGAGGGTCCGCCAGGGGCTTGCCCTGGGCCAGCCGAGCAGGGGCTGAGGGCCCGTACTGGCCGGGCCTCCCGCCCCTGTGGGATCGTCCGTTTCCCGTCGGGGTTTGGGTGGCAAATCCAGTTCAGTGGTGGGGTCCGTGAAGGAAGCACTTGCAGTCGGGGCCTTGAGCCAGGCTGTCTTTATTTCTGGGAGGCTGACCTGGGACAACAGGTAGGGGATTCCAGGTGAGCCAGACGGGCGGGGAGAGGTCAGGCCACCCTCAGTGGCCCCAGTGCCCATGGCTGTCTGGGCACACGTGGACCCCGCGCCCTCGGCAGCGTGGCCCCAGGCCTGCATGGGCACGGGCTCTGGAGTCTGTCAGTGTGGACCTGGGGCTCGGGCCACTGTTCAGAAAGGCCCCCAGTGTGCCAGGAAATACGTGCCGTGCCCAGGCTCCTCCTGGGCCTGGGCCGAGCTCAGCACAGGCAGGGCCATGAGCTCTCATCACACGGAGCCCTGGCCAGGCCCCGGCACCCCGCCTCCCGCTCGCCAGCGACCCAGGAGAGCGTGTGTCCCCAGCTCGTCCTCTGCCCCTTGTTTAAAGCCTATCTTGATGGCGAAATGGGACTTGGGAAACCCAGGGAGGGATGTGAAATACAGGCATAGACGAAGTGACAGATGTAGGGGGGAAAATACAGTGTGGACCACACGCTTACATTAAAAATTGTTCGCTGGTTATCTGAAATCCAGATTTAACCGAGCGTCCCGTAGCCGATCTGGCGACAGGAAGCCAACCGCCCCAGCAACGTTAAACCGGGCCTCCTCTCTCGCCGGAAGTGCTGAGGCCCTTACTGCCCGTGGTTTGCCCCGAGCCCGGGAGCTGCAGACGGGCCGGTCGGCACTGCTCCGGCGGCTGTGCCGACTCGCTAGCAGTGCGGACGGGACGCGCCGTCGGCCCCAGGGAGGGAGCAGCCGCTGCTGTATTTCAGCCGCAGCGAGTGAACGTACATCCTTTCTCGTCTGTTTCAGCTGCACTTGGTTCACTGGAATTCCACGAAATACGGGAGTTACAAGGAAGCTGTGCTGGGGGAGAGCGGTGTGGCTGTGATAGGCGTGTTCCTGCAGGTAACGTGGCTCGGGCGGCTCCCCCAGCCAGGCGGGTGCACGTGGCCTGTCAGCCCCGGTCCCTGGACAGTGGCCGGTGCCCGCCGTCCCGCCTGCCGCCTCTTCAAACGAGCCTCTCTTGTCTGTGCCCGCAGCTGGGGGCCCACCATGAGCCGCTGCAGAAGCTGCTAGAAGTCTTGCCGGAAGTCAAGCATAAGGTAGGCCACGCGATGTGAAACCAGCAGACAAGCAAATTTGCTTCATTAACGATCGCTTGCAAGAGTTAAAGATCAGCTTGGTGGAAGGGCGTGGCGGGGGTGGGGGAGGCCCAAGTCCCGTTCTGGGGATGGGACTCCCCAGGGCTGATGCCAGCCTGTGGCCGGCGGGCTCACCCTCTGACGTCCCCGTGGACCCCGCCCTCCTCAGTACAACGGGGGTGCCCAACTCGATCTGAGCTTTCCCAAAATTCAGCCCTCAGGCAGCATCTGAAGGTTTCTGCCACGTCCACCTGCCACAGGTACTACGAGTGACTTAGTATTTTTCCTTAAACTGATCAGTTTTTAAAAATCTTTAGCCTTGGCCCAGCCGATGCATCTACCAGGGATAACGTTGGTTTTAAACCGATGGAAACAAGGGCCTAACGGTTACCGTGTGAGAGTGTCCACCCGCACGCACAGTCCTGGGGGGGAGGGGGCGGCAGGGATGGGAACGGGGGAAAGTCTCGCCAGCCCGCCCCGTGCGCACCTTGCTGCCTTCAGCTCAAGAAGACAAGGGACAACATGCAGCTTTTCTCCAGCGACAGCTGAGAAAGGGCTTTGATGGAGAAATGGGAATTCCAAAGAAACGTAGTTTATTTGTTCAGTACCAAACAAAAGACTTCTGAGACCCAAGGAGCCACCGTGGCCCCTGGACGGATGGGCTCGGGCCTGCGGTGACAATGAGAAGAGTAGCTCCACATGAAAGCGGGGGCCAGCCCTTCCTCGCCGAGTCACAGGGCCCGTTTGATGTGGGCGGACGTTCCCCTTGATGTTGACCTCCGGGCCGGCCTCGTGGGACCAGGACCAGACCGCCCCCTGCTGCCCCGTCCCCCAGCTCAGGAACTGCGCAAGGTCACGGTGCTGGGAGCATCCTCTTCCTTGCTGGTCCGCAGCCAGAGTAAACCCGGGATGTTTTCCCCGTGCGCCCCCTCCCACACGGCGTGGCCTCCACCTCTTGGTGGGAAAGAGCGGGCCTGGCTGTGCGGTGCCTGACAGACCCTGGGGTCTGCTTCCCTTCCCCGGACGCTCTGGAGCCCGTCCCGCCCGCGGGCCAAGCCTGGTGGGCAAGTCACTTGGGAGAAGTGGTGTCAGCAGGGGTGACGGAGGAGGGGGCCTGGGGCCTCACCTCTGCCCCTACACTTGTCCTTGGCCTCAGTTTCCTCCCCTGAGACGTAAGAGTGAGGGCCTAGGAGACGAAACGCCAGCCTGCAGAGCGGGAGCCTGTGAGTCGTGGAGCCGCGAGGGGACCCCCGCCAGCCCCCACGGCCCCGCTCTGCACCCCACGCTGGGAAGACGTGAAGACACGACGCTGAGTGAGAACCTGGTCACCAAGGCGACACAGGATAGGATTCCTTGTTGGAAATGTCCGGAACAGGCAAATCCGTGGAGGCAGAAAGCACATTCGTGATGGGGGTGGTGGGGGAAGGTTAGGGGGTGTGATCGGTACAGAGCATTTACTGGGGTTCCTTGCTGAGGTGCGGAGAATGTTCTAAAGCTGACTAGTAATGGCTGCAGGCAGCGACCTTGAGTACACGGAAAGCCAGAGCACCGTGAGCTGTAATTGTGTGGGTTCTGGGCTCTGTGAATTGTATTTCAATTCCGCTGCTTCTTTTTTTTTTTTTTTAAGTTTTGTCTATTTGCTTTGAGAGAAAGAGAGAGAGCAAGAGCAAGCATGAGTGGGGTGGGGTGGGGGGCAGAGGTGGGGGGGAGAGGATCCCAAGCAGGCTCCGTGCTGTCAGGACAGAGCCCCACGAAGGGCTTGAACTCACGAACCGTGAGATCGTAACATGAACCGAAATCAAGAGTCCGGTGCTTAACCGACTGAGCCCCCCGGGCCGCCCCAACTGCTGTTTCTTAAACATTAACTAGACAATTGCTCGCACAGTGCGCAGCCAGCACAGCCCCCCAGTGGTAGCCGACAGCAGGGGTGAAGCCGCTCCCGTCCTCGCCTCCGACGTCTTACCTAAGGGCTCCGTGTCTGACCGGGGGTCTGCAGTTAGGGTACAGCCGGGCCGCCTGGGCCCCTAGCGCCCGTGTCTGGCGGCTGGGTGGAAGGGTCAGGGCAGCAGGGAGGCCTCCCTCCCCAGGGGCCAGCGTGTGTCATCCCCGTGCCCGCTCCCCCCCGTCCCCCCGTCTTTATCCCGGGAACGAACTCGGGCACAGACGGGGCGCCGCGCCCTGCCCGCGGGCTCGCCCCGTCGCAGCCCGGCCCCGACGCGTGGTCTCCTCCCCAGGGCGCGCGTGCGGCCGTGGGCGCCTTCGAGCCGTCGTGTCTGCTGCCCGCCTGCCGGGACTACTGGACCTACGCGGGGTCCCTCACCACGGCCCCGCTGGCCGAGTCGGTCACGTGGGTCATCCTGAGGGAGCCCGTCCACGTGGCTCGGAACCAGGTGAGCCGCGCCTCTCGCTCGGGCCGCCAACGCGCCGTGAGCCAGGGTCGTGGGCGTGACTCTGGCGTGGCTGGGTTTTTTTGTTTTTAAAGTTTATTTATTTTCGAGAGAGAGACAGAGACAGAGTGTGGGAGGGGAGGGGCAGAGAGCGAGGGAGACAGACTCCGAAGCAGCTCCAGGCTCTGAGCGGCAGCACAGAGCCCGACGCGGGGCTCGAACCCGCAAGCGGTGAGGTCCTGACCTGACCTGAGCCGCTGAGCCCCCAGGCGCCCGTCTCCGCTGTGTTTGGGACGTTCTTCCCCAAGAAGAATTTTCCCACTGAAACGGGAGGCGGTTCCGTTCTTCTGACTCCGGGATAATTGTGTGCGAGAGAGACAGAGGTGGAGAATGAGAGGCAGGGAGAGGGAGGGAGGGAGGGACTACGCGTCAGGAAACACGTACCTCGCCTCTAGCGGCTTCGAATTCGGACGGTGGGACGCTGATGACGGACGGTGGGACGGGCTCAAGGCTGGCTTTGTAGTGCGACTCGGGCTGCAGTCACTTCACAGGAACAGAGGTGCCATTGAAACTGGGACCTGGGTCCTGGCCCAGAATGGGACCTCAGGGGGTATTTTTAGGTGACAGATACACCAAGAAAGGAAAGTCGCTGACTAACTGTGGGAAGCCGTAAGGAGTAGGCTCTTTGGAGGAGAGAAGATTGTAGGGTTTGTCCTGCTTATTTGGATGACAGAACAGTAATCAGTCGAGGCTGCAGAACTTTCTCTCACATGCTGCCTTTTTAAAAAAAAAAATTTAATGTTTTTAATTTATTGCTGAGAGAGAGAGAGAGAGAGAGAGACAGCGTGAGCAGGGGAGGGTCAGAGAGAGAGGGAGACACAGAATCTGAAACAGGCTCCAGGCTCTGAGCTGTCAGCACAGAGCCCGACGCGGGGCTCGAACCCATGAACTGTGAGATCATGACCTGAGCCGAAGTCGGATGCTTAACCGACTGAGCCACCCAAGCACCCTCTCACGTGCTGCCTTAAGACATGATATATGCTGGGAGAATGTTCCAGAAGGATACGTCAGTCAGCTGTGGCTACAATAATGCTGCATAACAAAGCACCCACACCTCAGTGGCCCACAGCAAGCATTTACTTCCCCGCATTCAGGTCCGTGGGGTGGCTAGGGAGCCTCTGTTTTAGGCCGCAGATGGCACGGTGGCTGGGGGCCGGGTTGATCCCTCTGTGTCTCATGCGTCCTGGGTCAGTGGGTCCCCAGAGCTGGGCCGACAGACACGCAGAAGATGAGCACGTGACCGGCGCAAACTGAGGCTGCTGCGGTCATTGCGTCTGCTCACGTCCCGTCGGCCACGGTGGGTCCCAGCAGGGAAGGCTGAAGCGGGCGTGGCAGGGGGAGGTGAGTGAGCGTCCCGAGAGCAATGCCCAACATCTCGCACGGACCCCCCCCCCGCCCGCCACAGTAGACCGGCTGCCCCGGCGTTCCGCGGCGCATTTAATTTCCTCCCTCTCCTCCTGCAAGCGCTCCGTTCGTTCCCTACAGTAAGGAGACAGATGTTACTTGCTTGTGTTTTAAACACTGGTGTGTCCTTTCCTCTGGGACCCTCACGAGCATGGCGACAGGCTGTCTGTGTCAGGACAGACACACAGCGAGCTCGCGGCCTGCCCCATGGCGCCCGCCACGTGCGCTCTGGCTGTCGCTCTGGCAGAGCGATTCCATGACGGCCCGCTCTCGCCGACACCCTGGCAGGACCCGTCTGCCTCAGGAGGCAGAGCCCTCCACTCCCCTCCCAAACCAGGCCTGTCAGAGGCACGCGGAGGACCCTGGTCACAAGACCCTCCTGTCGCTCAGCACGCACGCGACGACCACCCGTGACGCGTCAGGGCCTGTGGCCCAAGAGGGCAGGAGGCGGGTGGTGGCAGCGGGGACAGTCTGCACACTGCCCTCTGGGGGAAACAGAGTCATGGTGATGTGAGGCCCCTCACCCTGACCGGGGGGGCCTGGGGGGTGCACCCCCAGACGGTGGCAGGAGGTCCCCAGCTGGAGGAAGGAGGATCGCGGTGTGTCTGGGGGCGCCTACGTGCGCGTGTGCATCTGATGCCATGTGTCAGCTCCGAAAGTTAGCGGCTTGAGAACACAGCAGCCACTATGGTCTCTCCGAGTTGCCGTGGGTCAGAGCGTGGGGGCTTCTGGCCTGGGCTCGCCCGTGGCGGGGTCGTCAGAGGCCATGGGGGCTGCCGTGCTCTGGAAGCTTCAGTGGGGCTGGAAAGTGGTTCACTCAAGTGGCCGGGGGCCTCACAACATGGCGGCCGGCTTTTCCAGGGCAAGGGATGCGAGAGGGCGAGACGGAAGCTGCAGTGTGTCTTCTGACCCAGCCCGGGAGTCCCCTCCGCCACCTCGTGTGGGTCACGTGGGGCCACCCCTGATTCCGTGTGCAGGGGGGCGGCTGCGCGAGGCAGGAGGGGCCCTGGGAGCTGGTTCACGCTGTACCTGCGCCCAGTTACCCTGCTTGCTGCCGTTCCAGCTGGCCGCCCTTCGCACCCTCCTGGTCTCTGCGCCCGGGGAAGAAGAGAAGGCGATGGTGAACAACTACCGCCCGCTTCAAGCCCTAATGAACCGGAAAGTCCGTTCGTCCTTCCCGGCTACGGAACAGGGCACGAGATTCTAAGTGCGCGGCGTCCAAGTCGACGGACAGAACGGGCCTTTAAGAGAGGAAGTACTGTGTCCCACGCTTCACGGTCTGATCGGCTCCAACCTCTGAAGTTAGAAAGAAAGAAAGACATCATTGTGTCGGTCAACGGACTTTTCGGTCACAAGGAAAAGAAATCACTTCAAACAAACTTAAGCGTGGTTGGGAGCGGAAATCCGGGACTCGGGGTATCTCGGGGCCCGTGGCAGCACCCCAGAAGGCACCCGTTGACCCGGCCCCTGGCGGTCCGTGCTCTCTTCTCTCTGCTTCTCCACACTCACAGCCGCCCCGTGCTTCCCAGGATGACGCACGCCCGGGACCCACATGCGTCTTTTCCGCCTCCAGATTCCTGGGTTGTGTCAATGTCCTGGGGCTGCTGTAGCATGTGACCACAAGCCAGAGGGGCTAGAACAACAGACACGTGTTGCCCCTCAGCTCTGGAGGCGAGAAGTCCACGTTCAAGGCGTGGGCGGGACTGGGTCCCCCACTTGCAGGCGGGCCCACCGTCTGGGGGCTGCCTGTCCCCCTTGGCCCACGGCCCCTCCTCCACCTTCAGAGCAGGGCGCTTTCCCAGGCGGCTGGTCAGCTCCCGCTGCCGCCTCACGGTCGTTCTGGAAGGCGTGTAACGGTTTCCTCCCGTGGGGTTTTGGGTTTTAATTGTGCCGAGACACAGGGACATGTGACCATCTTACCCACCTCGAGCGAACAGTTCTGTGCTTTGCGGCACATTTGTGGGGTTGCACAGCCGCCCCTTCCGCCCGACCTCATCTGTACATCGTACAAGCTGGAGCTCTGCCCAGGGACACACTCCCCCTCTGCCAGCCCCTGGCAGCCACCCGTCCGGCGTCCGTCCGTCCGTCCCTGAGATGTTGACAGCTCTAGGAATAAAGTATAACTGGCGTCATACAGCGTCTGTCCTTCTGTGACTGGTCCACTCAGAGCGCGTCGGAGTTTCCTCCCTAGGCAACATCCTCACCGATAACGGCATTGTGGTTTCGGAGCATCACGGGTATGCCCCTCTGGCAGGGACGGGCCTGTGCCGATGACCCAGTCAGCGCACCCCCCCCCGGCATGTCCTTGGTGGCAGGTGCAGTGACGCACAGACAGACATATGCTGGGCTGCCTGCTGAGAGGCGGCGATAAACTGCATCCCATTTTGGGGAAACAGAATATATCGACTGATGCCGGTCTGCAAATAGCATCTCAAATCACGGAGAGCCTACGATACGGATGTGGTTTGTTCTGGCAAAGTGGACGGTCCCCCAACCTCAGAACGTCCTGAGGCGGCCACGGCTTGCGGTGGGGTTCGGGCTCTGCAAGGTTCTGGCGCCCGCTACAGAGAGAGCGGTCCCACGCTCCCCGCCACGTGCTCCTCCCTCGTGGCGCCTGGGAGGTCCACGCAGAGACGATGGGCACGCGGTGGGGCTGTCAGCCTCGGCGCAGAGCTACGTGGGGGCGGCTCCGGACGGACAGTCCGGGAGGGAAGAAGGCAGTTTAAGGTTTGGTTTGGCCCAAACATACTTCTTGTCTCCTGGGGAGATGTCACCACTCCTGAGTCTTCAGTGAGGTGAGCTTCGCCCACGGGCAGAGCGTCCTGTGGCTGCCACACAAGGTGCCACAAAACCACGGACTCCGTGGCTTCTGACACCGTGCATTTGTTGCTTCACAGTCAGGAGGGCAGAGGTCAGGCACGGCCTCACAAGCCACAGTCAGGGTGCGGGCAGGTCCCTGCTGGAGGCTCCGGGTGGAGCTGTTTCCGGGCTTCGCCACCCGCCAGAGGCGCCCGTGGCCCCCGGCTTGTGGCCCCTCGTCCACCTTCCAAGCTGGGCGCTGCAACCAGCCTTCATCACACAGCCCCTCTGACTCTGACTCTTCCCTTCCAGGGGGCTTGCGAGTCCCCGGGGCCACCGGCGTCCTCCAGACTCATTCCCTCTCGTCTCCGAGTCCCTTTGCCGTGTGAGGTCATACATCCACAGGCTCCGGGATTAGGACAAGGACATTATTAGCCGTCCACGGGGCATATGCAGAACCGCACGGTGGCAGCTTCAGCCGAGCAGCCCTGAGACTGGTCTCCTCTGGAGGTGGGGGGAGGGGGTGGATTGGGAAAGGTACCGGGGGAACGGCAGGGGTGGGAGGGAGGGGACGCTGAAAATGCTCCGGAGCAGCTCTGTCCAATTGCACATTCTGTGATGGTGGAATGTTCTAGAACTATATTGTCTTATGGTATTTTCTGGGATGATGGAATGTTCCAGAGCTTCATTGTTACCACAGCGCATCCTGTGATGATGAGATGTCCTAGAACTGGGCTATCCCATAGCACTTTCTGGGACGTCGCCCCCAGGTCTGAGTGGGGACACTGAGGCTCACCTGAGAGGTGAGGCTCACTCCCGGCCAGGAAGAGGCAGAGGCGGGAGGAAGGGCCGCCGTCCGAGGGGAGGTGGTCGTCCAGGGCCGGTGCCGCGGTTCGCTCTCGCCGCCTCTGACGCGTGCGGTTCGGCACAGGGAAAAGCGCAGCCTCACGTCAGAAAGACACGGCCCCGAACCCCCCGGTGCAGCGAGGAATCGCGGTCCTCAGTGCCCCGCACGCGCGTTCTGATGGGCGCTTCCCTCCGGAGAGGCACCTGCTGAGACCCCCCGCGGCTTCTGGGCATGGCGTGGGCGGATAAGGAGGCCACGTGGATAAGGTGGCTGGAGACTGGGGTCTCTGAGTCGGGGTGGGGTGGGGGGCGTCCTTTCCACAGGGACGTTGGGGCAGAGGAAGGCCCCGGTGTCCAGAGGGGGCCTCGCGAGAGGGAGAAAGGGCCACGGCGCCCGGGCTCGGTCCCACCTGCCACGCGGTGACGTCGTGTCCCAGCCAGAGCTCCAGGAGCAGGCGGGGGGGTTTCCCTCCTCACGTTTCATGCGGACGTAAGTCTTTCCTCTCCGGGCGGGCGCGCCTTTGTCTCCTGGTAGGTGTTCTCTTTTGTCGGTTGTTTTTAAATGGTGGCGCTCCCGCCGAGACACGGAGACCCTCCCGGGAGCCACGCGGAGCCAGCGGGGACACACTGCACTCAAACCACAAACAGCCCACAGGAAGCACTGTTGATCCCGGCCCTCAAAGCCAAGGTACAAAAAACAAACACAGACGCCCCTGCTCCCTGTCCTGAGCGGCCGCGGTCGCAGAGGTCAAGGTCAGCGGGCCTGGGGGCCAGGTTCCCAGTGTGGCGCGATTGTGGCTGAGGCCTGTGTTGTACCAGCTCTGGCCCCGACTTTAAAGCCCAGAGACTCCTCCCTGGGCTCTCCTGAGGTTTTGTCACTTTTTACAACACGGATGTGTAAGAAGCGCCGGTTCCCAGCGCACAGCGGACCCGCCCGCCCTCCCCTTCCCCTTCCTGACCCAGAATCAGAGGCGCCCTCCCCCCACCTCTGTGCCCCTGGAACAGACCCGCCAGGGGTTCTTATGCAGCCCCTGCCCACCGCCCCCCGCCGTGTCCCTTCCTGGGGCCTGGACGATCCCCCCCCCCCCCCCCCGCGGAAACACCTGGGCCGTGGAGCCCCCAGAGCCCCCGGACCGCGCCTGGGTTCCTTCCTCGTTCTGTGGGCGCCCACCGACTCCATCTCGGTCCAGGGCACCTCCACCCCCCCAGCACTAAGGCCAGCCTCGGGGAGGCCCCCCGCAGCCCCTGCCCTGCCCCCCTCCCCGCACCCAGTGAGGCCTCGGCCCGCAGGTGGCGCCCTCGCTCATCACGTGTCCCAGATGCGCTCACTGTCCCCCGCGTTCTGTGTCGCTGCCCCCTGGCCGCCTCACCTGTGGCGGTAGTCGTGCCGCTAGCCTCTCCCTGTCGCCCCTTCTGGCCAGACGCCCCCGCTCACACCCGTCCACTCTTCTCTCCACGGCGCAGGCTGGCAACAGCCCCCAGGCCTCCCCTCCCAGCGCCGGCTTCCTTTACCCTCGGAACTGAGCACAAGCTCTTCCCTGTGCGGCCCGCACCCCAAGGCCCTCCCGTGTGTGTGCGGGGCCCTCGCAGCTCGGACCCTCATTGTCCTCCCCTTCCTCTACCCTGCCCTGACCACGGGCCTCCCCGCAGCCCGGACGGGGCACCCCTCCCGCCTGCGGGGCTCGTGCTGGGCCACCAGTCCGCTGCGTGTCCCCCGCGAGGGCGGCATGCCCACCTACTCGCTGACTCGCAGCCCAGAATGAACACTCATTGTGCGGAGACTGAGCGAGGTGCTGCGTGCCGTCTCCCAGTCGGCCGTGAGTGCTCTTGTTTCAGCGCCTTCGGGCATGCTGTTCCCTCTCTGGGAATGCCCTTCCCTTCTGCCTCTGCTCAGTAACTTCTATCAGCAGGCTCAGCCCAAGGGCCTCCTCTGCTGTGGTTCTTCCCTCAGCACCTCCCCAGAGAGCTCTCCCTCCCCTGCGACCACGTGTCCTGGGTGTGGCTGTGACAGTGAGGGAGCGAGAGCATGACGCAGCATGAAGTCGTGGGAAGCAGCATGGAACAGCATGAAACAGCATGGAACAGCATGGAACAACGTGAAGCAGGATAGAGCAGCATGAAGCAGCACGGACCACATGGAATAGTGTGGAACAGACATGGAAAGGCACAGAGCATCCTGGAACACCACGGAGCAGCTAGGGGCAGCCTGGAACCGCACGGAGCAGTGTGGAGTAGAATGGAACAGCGTAGACCGCTTGGGGCAGCCCACGTTCTTGGCGTTCACAATAGGAAGCATCGTGTAGGGTGGTGAGGAATCTCCTAGAGATTTCTGGGGCTCAGAATTACATCCTCACCTCCCCAGATCCACCTTTCAGCTCTGAGTCCTTTCCCTGACTCGGTTTGTGTGTCATCTGCCCAGCGGCCACACTGCCCAAAAGTGGGAGGGAGAGCCCGGTAGCCTGAGCGAGGGGCCCTGGAAACCGTGGCTTCGAGCGCGGGTCTCCCCCACCCTGCAGAATCCCAGGAGCCGCTCCCAGGGCGCACACACCAGCGCTCGCACGGCGGAGCGCCCGGCCGTAGGGAGCTGGCTGAGCTCTCCCGACGAGCAGGGCAGGGTGGGAGCGCGGTCAGTGTGACGCTCAGCCCGTCCACGCACCGACTGTCATGCGTTCAGCTCGCACGCCCGACGCCGAGCAGCAGAAAGGCCTGGCCCGGGTCCGGGGCACCGTCAGGATGTATGTCAACAGGAAAAAAGCTCTTCTGTTTCCCCCAAACTTAAGATTGTGTTCACAGACCGTTGCATTGAAGATTAAAGCTGTGTCCTTTTTCAATTATTCTCTGTCAGAATTTCCTGTGTCGGTGTGGGAATTTTTTTTTTTATAGCAGCATTGAGGTAGAGACACTATTTTTTTTTTTTTTTTTTATAGAGACACTATTTTTAAGTGGAGTAAAATCTTCTGATCCTTTCTGCTGAATTCTGGAAATTCAGAAAGGCCACCCTACAGGTGTTCCAGGCCCCTGAACACACAAACACCAATCAAAGGTATAGACATCAAACGGCAGGCACATCATTCAGGCTTTCCGTGTGCATCCGTGCCAGCCTGATGAGGCACACGGCTTCTCTCCCATTAAGGTCCAGCGACTGCGTATCAATCACCTCCCGCCACCGCGTTCCAGTCAGTGCGCAGGGCAGATGGGATACACCGGGGAGCCAGACGACAAGGCACAGCAGGCCCAGCCCCGGCAGAGCCTGCAGCCGCAGGGAAGGCCCCACACAGGTGGGGGTGGAGTAAGTGTGGAATGCGCCAGAGGGACCGGGCTCCAAAACATGCAGAGTGAGGGCAGGGAGCGGGGGGCTGGGGTCAGAGTGGGCCTCACTGAGCAAAGATATCTGAGCTAAGATTTGCAAGAGGTGAGGAGGTGAGCCTTGCAGATACCGGCGGATGGTTCTGGAAAGTTCCAGAGCATCAGAGAGACCAGCGTGGCCAG